AAGAGTAACTGAAAGTTTCAGTTACTATGAGGAAAGGTAGGCTACTTGACAAGTTCAAGGATGAATATTTTATGAAAGTTTTGTTAATAACTAAGTTCGGGAGGAGCACGTTCAGATAATTAACACGAGTGGACGGCAATCAGCAATCAGCAACCAATGATAAGAGGGTATATATAGACTCAGCAGTCTTACCTCGATCCATTGGCAGTTTGCAGCATTTGGCCATGTCCGAATCTAGCTCTTCCTGTTTTCGATAGAGAATCTTTCGTCCAGAATTAGGAATCTTTTCCGCAACCCGGTATCATCCCATGGGCGTCAGGCCAAACAAACGGGTCATCGCCACCCCGGGCGAAACATCCGCAATCTACTTCCGCGGTATCTTTTAAACCGGACCATTCAATAATTCCTGCCATAGAGATATGGACAAGGCAATGCTGCCATCTTAACGCAAAGGAATGGACATTCCTCCAGCGTCGGCCGTCGCAACAGGCAGTAAGTAAGTTAAGCCACGCTGCAGATCCAGTCCCGGCTGATCCACACTCTCAAACATCTGCCGGGTCAACTCTGTGAGTGCTTAGCTGAAAACTTTCGCGTCCCTGATTGAACTTCGCATCGCTTCAATCGTTGAATGTCGAGCATTTACGCTATCCGGATACTAATTGTGATCGATATAAATAGTTTCTGTACAATGATTTGCGTTCCTTAAACGCGATGCTTCTTTATGGCGTAAAACTCACACGTAAACAGTAGGGCTGGGAATCGATTCTAAAGAATTGATTCCTCGATCCCAAAAAGAATCGATTCCTCGATCCGAGGCGTTAGGAATATAGAGTCGATTCCAAAGCTAGGAATCGATTCCATTAACAGGAATCGACTCCTCTTTTAAGATTTCAGAAGTTCAGACCAATTCTAACCCGCAGCTTCACCATTTGGTTTACTAATCCAGAACGAACAAATCGGCAGGGAACCACCCTTAGAAATGACAAATAAATAAATGAGAAACAACGGAGCTTTTACACTAGGCTTGTTACGGTGAAATGCCATATATGGTTTGTATCCTGTGTTTGCAGCGGTCCGAGCGCATTTGTCCCCGACGCCCCCCGCAGCGTGGGTCCGGTTCCACACCCAATTTAATTCTATCGAACCTTGGTGCGTTCGCGTGCATCTTATGTCATTGCAAACGTGCACGGCGCTCGATGGAAAGCAGAACGTGGGTAAATATTGTGTATTTACTTATTTATTTTTAGTAAAATTGCTTCTACTATGCGCAGTTAAGTGAACAATACAGGTTTATTGTACGTGTGTCGCATAAGGTGGTTTTCTGCTGCTTGCAAACGGACCCGTAAGAATACAGTGGATTTACAAATATGTTGCTCTGATTCCACGTACAATGCTCGAATACACTGCAGGCTCACTCTCGCTCGTATCCAGGGTAATTCCTCAACACTATCATCCCTTACTTCATTTAACTGAATACATCACAATAAGCTAAAACGCATGCACAGGATACCTTATTTCCTGAACAAGGGCGCACCCGAGTCCGTGCTGGGTAGTCAGTACTACCACCACCTCCTCCAGGTAGTCTCGGGTCCGGTACCCCAGTGCGCACCCGGTTCCCATAATGGCGTTCACATTAGCGATTTTTCATGCGAACCTTTCCCCGTTACGGACTTAACTGCCAGGGTGAAAGTTCCCTAAGCCATTTTGAAACGTTAATAAAGATGTGCATAATCCTGCAAAGATTAAATCGCCCCTCTTTTTCGCATCTTTGTTTGCGCTCAAGAAGATGATAATCGGCCAGCCAGGCCCCAATCTACTTCCCGCTCTTGCTCGGCTTCACACCACAGCTCATTTGCACAGGTACGTTTCTCCACTGCCCAGCAGTGACGTCTACTCTGCTCCCACTGAAGCTCTGTTTCTCCGGCTAATTTTCTATACTGCCCCAGCAGTGACGTCTCCTCTGCTCCCACTGGAGCTCTGTTTCTCTGGCTAATTTTTTCCACCGCCCCAGCAGTGACGTCTCCTCTGCTCCCAAAGGAGCTCCGTTTCTCTGACTAATTTTTCTACTCTGCCCCAGCAGTGGTGTCTCATCTGCTCCCACAGGAGCTCTGTTTCTCTGACTAATTTTTCTACTTTGCCCCAACAGTGATGTCTCATCTGCTCCCACAGAAGCTCTGTTTCTCTGACTAATTTTTCTACTTTGCCCCAACAGTGATTTCTCATCTGCTCCCACAGGAGCTCTGTTTCTCTGACTAATTTTTCTACTCTGCCCCAGCAGTGATGTCTACTCTGCTCCCACAGGAGCTCCGTTTCTCTGGCTAATCTTTTCTACTCTGCCCCAGCAGTGATGTCTACTCTGCTCCCACAGGAGCCGTGTTTCTTTCGGCTAATTTTTCTACTCTGCCCCAGCAGTGATGTCTCATCTGCTCCCACTGAAGCTCTGTTTCTCCGGCTAATTTTCTATACTGCCCCAGCAGTGACGTCTCCTCTGCTCCCACTGGAGCTCTGTTTCTCTGGCTAATTTTCTCCACCGCCCCAGCAGTGATGTCTCCTCTGCCCCCACAGGAGCTCTGTTTCTCTGGCCAATCTTTTATACTCTGCCCCAGCAGTGATGTCTCATCTGCTCCCACAAGAGCCGTGTTTCTTTCGGCTAATTTTCTACTCTGCCCCAGCAGTGATGTCTCATCTGCTCCCACAGGAGCTCTGTTTCTCTGGCTAATCTTTTCTACTCTGCCCCAGCAGTGATGTCTACTCTGCTCCCACAGGAGCTCCGTTTCTCTGGCCAATCTTTTATACTCTGCCCCAGCAGTGATGTCTCATCTGCTCCCACAAGAGCCGCGTTTTTTTTCCGGCTAATTTTCTACTCTGCCCCAGCAGTGATGTCTCATCTGCTCCCACAGGAGCTCTGTTTCTCTGGCTAATCTTTTCTACTCTGCCCCAGCAGTGATGTCTACTCTGCTCCCACAGGAGCCGTGTTTCTTTCGGCTAATTTTTCTACTCTACCCCAGCAGTGACGTCTCATCTGCTCCCACTGAAGCTCTGTTTCTCTGGCTAATTTTTCTACTCTGCCCCAGCAGTGATGTCTCATCTGCTCCCACAGGAGCTCTGTTTCTCTGGCTAATTTTTCTACTCGGCCCCAGCAGTGATGTCTCATCTGCTCCTACAGGAGCTCTGTTTCTCTGAATAATTCTCATATGAGCTCTGTTTCTCTGGCTATTTTTTCTACACTGACACAGCAGTGATGTCTACTCTGCTCCCACTGGAGCTCTCTTTCTCTGACTAATTTTCACTCGGCCCCAGCAGTGATGTCTACTCTGCTCCCACTGGAGCTCTCTTACTCTGGCTTATTTTCTACACTGCTATAACAGTGACGTCCCCTCTGCTCCCACTGGAGCCCTGTTTCTCTGGCTAACTTTCTACACTGCCACAGCAGTGTCGTCTCCTCTGCTCCATCTGAAACTCTTTTCTCTGGCTAATTTTCTTCACCGTCACAGCAGTGACGTCTCCTCTGCTCCCACAGATGCTCTGTTTCTCTGGATAATTTTCTACACTGCTCAAGCAGTGACCTCTTCTCTGCTCCCGCAGGAGCTCTGTTCCTCTGGCTTATTTTCTACACTGCTATAACAATGATGTTTTCTCTCCAGTACATCACCATTTAGAATTATTATTCCTGCTAAAACCCTTAATTGATTATTTCCTCTGTCCAGCAAGCTTGGTCTCCAAGCTAACGTCGCACGCATCAAAATTTATCCTCCAAGCGGTATCTCCCAGGACCCTTCAATCCTATATTACCGCTTGGAGGTAACATAAAGAAAGGAAACGATAAATATAACGTCTCTTATAACTTGCCTTCCCCCGATTTTTCTCTTTCCAATCAAATCTTTTATCTCCTATTAAAGGTTATTTGAGCGGCAATCCAGTTTTTCCCATAAACTGTCGTACGGCACTACTTCTGTGGAGTTAAACAATTCACAAACCCTGATTAAAGGGATCCAAAGATCCCAGCCCACCCGCCCCCGACTCCGGACACCCCATAACACTGGAAATTCTCATTAAATG